TTAATATATATAATATATGTATATCAATATATATATACTTTTTTTAAATTATCAATTGATTTAGGTGAATTGGTACCTAGGTAAGTTTCACTACGATTATATCGATCGATTGGTGGGGAGAGCATGTCTGTGAACGAACGAGATCATCCGTGATTCCAGTGTCTCTTGTCTCGTTTTTCATGTGTAGCTGCGTGTTTAACGAGCATGTGGACGCGTATCGTATCCTGCTCGTTTTTACGGGATGCAAATTTTCACCTAGTTATATGAGCCGCGGTAAGCTCGACACGTCGGTTTCCTAATCTCTTCGAAGCCGCTGTTGGTGTAACCCCTCAACAGAGTTTTTCTTTTCATCTTTCCTCTTCCCTTTGCCCCCCGCGATTTCGCGCGACCAATGCCAACAAAGCGCCGCGGTGACTCCCGAGATTCTTTTTCCAAGCGATTTTTTCCACGGAAACGGCACGTAGTACAAACGAAGCGTTGAAGCTCGCGATAAATTCGAGGCGACGAAAATAAACGAATATTCAATGCGTGCTCTTTCGTCGCGTTGCTTCGCACACGACAAATGAAGGAAGAATGCGCAGGAGACGCGACGACCTTTCCTTCGAGGGTTGTCGATTGCAGGTAGGGGTCGCGCGGAGCCGGTCGATTCAGTCGAGGGAAGAGATCTCTCCTTGAAGTAACAGGGAAACCGCCTCGATGCACCGCGCCGTATATGCACACATATACATCATACGTTTGGTATATGCGTTTATTTATTTATTTATTAATTTATTTATTCATGCACATATCGACGCTGGCGAGGCGCACGAATATCGTGGCGTTCCTTCGATCCTTTCCGATCGTTTAGCCAACGCGCCTCGTTCACGCGAGAATGGTGCTGCCGAGCGTCGAAAAATTACGCTAACTAATGCTCATCCCATTTTCTTTTGTCCTTAGTTTCGCCTTTCCTTCTCTTCCTCTTGCTCCCTCTCCCCCTCACTCATCCCCTCTCTCTTACACCCTTTTTCTCACGCCCTTTCGTTCACAGATTTTTCCTATTTTCTAGCTCACGACCAAGGTGCCCGCCGCCCACGGTTGTCGATCTCGACGTATTTCTACACCTACTCACGGTGTTTCCCTATTGTCTCTTCATCGTAAAGTACACTCTTCTCTCGTTGCCGATATGCTTAACCGTGGTGACTGGATGAACGAAAAGTGGTTTGTGGTTTTCTTCCTTAAACGATTGCGAGTATCGCCACGAAATTCGTATGAACGAAGGGACGGATGGAGGGTCATCGTTGATGCGATTCCTTTTCTTCTTACACACACTCAACCCCTTTAACTCTTTTTCTTCTCATTGTCTTCCTACCATTCTTGTACACTCTTGGCCGTTCCTAATTCTCGGTCTGTTCTCTCTCTTACGCGGACATCTCGTACCTCGTGCGGTGCCTAGACGTCACCTAATCTACGGCGACAAGTATATACAAAAAGAGTACCAAAAAAATAAATATATATGTAAATATATATATATATATATTGTTTATTTATATATATATATATAGATGTAGAGGTTACTTTTGTTTATCCATTCTTCGTTACTAGTCGTACGCAAGGTACGCATCGGTTGATCCGCAATCGCATCCTACCGATTCATTCTCGAATCACTAAATTATTTCTGGTGTCGCAGGCATATGTGTACGGAGTGTAATACGTGTGGAAGTCGCGGGTGTTGTCATCACGAATACGTATCACGCGAAAGTATGTCATTTTTTAAAGAGACTCGTTGTGCGAGGTTAATCTACGGGCTTATGATTTCGACTGACGGTGCTGCTATGTATAGAACGTCCATCTATTAAGCGGAACACATAACGTAGCATGCTGGCTTTCCGCG